TAAAATATAAAAACTACACCATAATTACAAAAAAAACAATGGTTGCCTGTAAAGTCGGTTTTACGGGCGAAGATTTTACGTGACAACGGTAGAATATTTATTGATATGAATATAATTAAATTGCACAATAGGAACAAGGAATTGAATGAAAATAAGAATTGCACAAATTTTAACTATAGAAATATATTTTGTTTACTAAAACATTGTACATGTAAACTTAAACTTAACTAATTCATATTTGAGTGATTTTGTTGAGGATAGGACGATGATAGGAGAAATATGAAATGAAAGGAAGTGTTTCTGCTGTAATGTGTCTTGCGAAAGTCAAGTCGATAGTTGTTCCTTTTAACGTAGTTGACTTAGAAACGTTTGATACGCAATCAAGATTATACGTATTTTTCATGAATTTGAGAAACGAGTTGTCAGGCTTTACGTTTTTGTTAAAATCACCACACAGAAGAATCGGTATACTAGAATCAACTTGCACGAACGGTGGCACGTACTGGCTGTTGTGAATGTACGGACCGAGTCCTTGCCATAGTAACATTCCAATATCCTGCATACTAGCTCCTGGATGAATATATACAGCACCGAGTATAAACTTGAAGCTAGTATTAGCGGCGAAGCAAGTAACTTCAGTCATGCACATGTCACCCTTGGTTTTAATGACACGAGTTACGTCTGTAATCGCAACTTGGAACACTTCCGCCGTAGATGTCGATGATAATTTACGATAGATCGCCACTCCACCAGCCGCGTTGGTATCTGAGTTAGGTCGATTATTTTCCCTGGATACGCACTCATAACCCTTGATTGGAGTTGGTTCACAAGTGTCGCGCATCCAGGTTTCAGTCAATACTAAATAGTCTGATCGTGGTATCACTGTATCTGTTTCAATGTCCGCGGCATGGGCACTTAAACTTTGACAGTTGATGTTCGTTACAATAAGTTGTCCAGCGTCGGTTGCGTCGTCACAGAATTTTACGGCTTGTTTGGTAATTGTGTCTAGAGTGTGTCCACGAAGTCGTAAGTATTCATTGCGAATATCTCGAGTAGTCTGTGAGTCGTTTCCATCTCGGCCATGTTTGAAAACCAATGGAGAGTCCTTTTCTGTTATGATGTACAATCCGTCGATACTTGTGACGCGGCTCATGGCTACATATACCAATTGCTGTGGTTGTTTTGAGGAGTACTTGTGAACAATTGTAGTAAACGTCCCACCCTGGGCCTTGTGGATCGTAATTGCACAAGCAGGCACGCAAGGAAATTGTTTTCGCTTGCACTTCACTGTTTTTGTCAACGAAATGTTTACCACTTTCTTGTGCACTGGCACCCAATCGACGGATAAGGTGTTTGGTTTGCTGTGCACATGTGGTCGACATTTGATTTTTGCTTTGTACCCGTATTTTTGTCTTCAAACTGGAACCATAGAGTGGCGATTTCATCTTCAGCTGGCGGCAAACTTGTGCTGGTCGATGGTCCTCCTGGAGCAGAACGGTCATCTGCATTGGCTGGCTGACGTTCGATGTATAGCAAAACTCCAATAGCCCCATTTACCAATCCATCGGCGACGTCTATGTTAGATGTAATGATGTACGGATATCCTACTGCTAATGGCAACATGTATGGCAATCCGTCGGTTTCTGCAACCGACATCTTGTGAAGTTTCCCTTGCTCCCGGCTCTTTTCAGAATTGCTGGAATACCCAAGCATAATATCAGTGGCGATACAGTTGTGTGCGTTTTGAATTGCGTTTCGATTGTATGAATCTACTTCATGGTTGCTGTAATACAATCTGACAGCGTTGGGTACGTTCTCTTTGCACCAGACTTCAGATTTGTGCCTGGACTCAATAAGTGCGATATTATTGACACTTAGTTTGAGTCCATCTCCAATTTTGGTGAGAATCGTCGAAAACAGCTCGTCAGTTTGTCGGACAACATGGACTAATGGGAAGTAGTTGATGCTTTGCCAGAGTACAGGTCCTCCGAGTTGGTTGTGTGGTACTGTGTAACACGGACTAGCGCGCACAGGTGGCAGCTGTCTGAAATCGCCGCATAAGATCATGTGAATGCCTCCGAATGGTTGATCGTAAATACCGGTAATCTGCTGTAGTCGATAATTGATTTTTCCAAGTATAGCTGCACTCAACATGCTGATTTCATCAATGAAAACAGCTTTCACGCCGACAAACATGTTTCTGTAGGCTTGCAAGTTCTCAGCAGAAAGAAGTTTTGTCATTCGAGAATTTGTGAGACGAAACGCTGAGTGAACTGTCGTTCCGCCAATAGGGACAGCTGCTTTGCCTGTGCTTGCACAAGCAACGTATGCGTTGTTCAGTGAGTTGTGTTCCTGTGTGTAACGATTGTACGTCTCCATCAGGCACTTAACTAAATTAGTTTTCCCACAGCCGGCCGGTCCTGTGAAGAAAACTTGTAGTGTGACGACGACCTCATCTCCACAGCCATGTAAACGATGTATGACCTCATGAATCAGCTCACGTTGTTCAGGGTTCGTCGTTCGTATCAGCTCACAAAATTGCTGTTTTGGCATCACGTTGCTACGTCGCGCGGTGAGACCAAACGTTCACTGATAGGATCCAGAGGCGGTAGACCTGGAGGTATGTCAGGATATGAGAAGCCGTTGACCTTTGCGAGAGTAGGAAGCTTACGCTTATTCAGTGATTGTCTACAGGTGTTGCAAGACTTTGTATAATCCACCTTGCGTAGCTGCCGATTTTCCTTAACGTACCAATCCGAGATTACCTTCAGTTGTAGTGCAGTGATGGTTTTAAGGTCATTCTTGAACCACAATCTGTCACAAACCGAGCAAGCATGGCCAAAATCGTTGTCCAGGAAAGTAGATTGAAATCTCCGTATTGACGATGACCATTTGGTATACCAGGTGGATTGTTCCAGTTGTATTGCTGTTTGGCTTGAAGAAGTAGTCGGTTGTACATCAGTCCGAGAAGATGCTGCTCTACGTTGTCGGAATGCACGTTGCCGTTGAGCGTTAGTTAGGAGAACGCTCGTTCTCTCCGCCACGACAGGAACGCTTGTTCTCTCCACCACAGAACAAGACGTTGAAGCAGGTGACTCTGACGTACCGCTGGTGAGGGCTATGTTAGCAGATTTACGTAGCTTGAACCTGCGTTGCCTCTCCGCAGCCGCTTTTGCAAAGGCTCTTACTTGTTCAGGAGTTCTGGTCAATGCTTTTCGTAGTCTGTACTCACGTTGTCGCTGAGCATTCGTTCTGGCGGTAGAGGTGGTGTGTGGAACAACGAAAGGTACTGCAGACGTTGACGGCACGATATCCTCCGTCTCCATTGAAGTACTGGAAGTTGAAGGCACCGTTTCCATTGTTTTGAGAGTGGTGATTCCTGTTGAACATTTGAAATTGAATGGATGAATTTTTAATTTTAAAGAATCAATTTGAAAATCAAAACACTTATTCAGATCGAAGGTTCAAATTTTTGCTAAATAAATTTGAAATTAAATAAAATTTGTAATTGTAAATGATGAAGTTGAAAATTAAAACATTTACTTATATTAAATGTTAAAATTCTTGCTCAACACAGTTTAAATAAAGTTTTCTTATATCTGCCACTTTTTCTTAATATTTGTAATTTTAAATAATCAATTCGAAAATCAAAACATTTATTCAGATCGAAGGTTCAAATTTTTGCTAAATAAATTTGAAACTATTTAAAATTTGTAAAATAATAATTAATTAATTAATTAATTTTAAACTAATAATTTACTTAACACTATCAACATTTATCAATAGTATGACATAACCTATAAACTCAGTTTCTCAACTTTTGTGTCAATCTAACAATTAATCAATCAATCATAGTTTACGATAATGAAATATCAGTGTACAATTATTTACCTTTATTGTTGTAGTTGTTGTAAATGACGAATCTAAGCACTCCACATTTTCACTACAGACACAGCTGACGATACTTTAACCACACGTGTGAACTTGTATTATGACGCTTTCTTGTTTTTCCAACGCCAAGAACGTTCGAGAAAGACAAAGACAGAGACAAGCATGCGCCGATTCAATGCGCCTAATTCTCTAGCGCTGCGCGCGCAGCACTCTCGTTCGGTGACTCATCGTAACGTTACCGGGCGTTACACTTTTTCATAAGTGACTCCCAGCCGCAACCTAATTTAAGACGTTGTCACGTCAAAATAATTTATGAGGATATGGTGGTGCTTATCTTCATGGTTAAGCCAATTCCTGAAGTCCACTCCTCTTCAATTTTGCGATGGTATTTATAGGCCTAGAAAATAGGTCCTCTATTGTCAGTTATGAGCATGACAAGATATGCTTCGGATAAGCTTCGGAACTATTGTATATCAAGCAGTTATTGAAGTAGGAAGATGTAGAAAGTAAGAATGAACCCTCATCTTAAAATATTTCCTGCAATATTTCTTCTTCCTATACAGAAAAATCTTCTCATTCATCCTCCAATATTATATATCAATACAAACATATACTCAACATGCATCAAATATTTATATTTGCAAAATACCCATTTATTCCTATTGATAACACATACATTTATCTTCATATTGAACTTTTATAGTGTTTTTCGCATGCAACTTCAAGCTATTATTGAATCGTAACCGTCAAGACCGTTGACTCCAAAAACATTTGCTCTATGTCTAGTTGAAATTGGCTGAATTAGAGAGAAAATAAAATACTCCCATCATAAATAGGTCATTCTATTATATTATACTATATATACAACCAACCTGGAATAATTTAAAATCAGCGATTAGTTGATATTTATTCCGATAGATGGCGCAAGCCAATAACAACTTTTAGTTGAACGATCAGGAAATGCCTTTTTTCTTAATTTATCCACCTGATCTGAGTACAAATTCACTTCTGTACTATTTTCACATGTTTTTCGCCTATTTAATGGTTTTCCAAGATGCCTCGAAGACCAGCTTTTTTGGTAATTGAGGTACATCCTGGTCACGGCACCTTTTTACCTGGCGTGATCGTCTAGTAGTTAGGACATTGCGTTGTGGCCGCAATAACCCAGGTTAGAACCCTGGTCAGAGAACCTGGGTACTTTGCTATAGTGCATTGCTGCTTGTCTGCTTGATACATTAATGTTTGGGCTCGAAAATCATACACTTTGGTTAGTAGTCAGTAAAATATTCTTATTGATGTACAGCTTGCACCACGCTGACGAGGGCCAATAGCCCGAAACGTGAACGTAGTTAGCTTTTCTTGATTAATCATGAAACGGTATTTGACTAATTCTGGAATAATTAAAAATCAACGAATAGTTGATATTTATTTCGATAGATGGCGCAAGCCAGAAGTAGTGCCTTTATTCTCAATAAATAGGTTGATACAACGGTTTAATGGTGAAAGCTACGTGAAGCGAGCGCTCCGGCATTGCGCCTCATTTACACATTTGCAAAAATCCTTAAATAATTCCATAATAAAGTATGGATTATTGTTTTTAACAGCTTTTGGATTGTAAATCAAGAATATCAGAACGAGAAACCTGAAACCTTAGAATACTGCCCCTTTTGAAAATTAAGGATAGCTCCAAAAATAACGCCTCAACTTCCGACCGTTCCAGATTTGAAAACGTGTATACCAGTCAAACGGAAAGATAAACATCGAGTCAATATGCATTCTTGGACATAACTTATGGAAGTTGTACATTTTCGCATTTTTATCGGGATTCAAACAATAACTCTGAAAAATATTACAGTGACCTTTATTGAAGATACATGAGATAACCAAGTGTAAACAAAATCTATCGCCTAAAAAAATAATAATAAATAAATAAACAGACGTCTGGCGACATAAAAATATGAAAATTCCTTAAGTTTTGTCCATGAGTGTAGATAGTACCTGGTTTCTACTCTAAGAAGCAGTTGTTGAACATCTCTTGAGAGCGCCATCACCCGAGAGCGAAAAATGGGTTTCTGTGGCAGCTCCTTGAGCCTGCGTTGAGGTGATTTATTATGATTTCATTGAACAATTATCAATTCACATTTTATAAAAAATAGGTTGGGAGGGCATTTCTATATGATTTTATTTTAAAGAATTTATATGTATATAGCAATAGGGTGTACGTATATAAAAACACATTATGTAGAATATATAACCTCTCATCAATTGAGAAATGGCACATTCACGGTAGACTTCCATCGTTCTTGAGACTGGGTTATGGGCTATTCAGCGATGCGTAACAGCTCTAGATAGACGTGCGTCGCAGATATTATGCTGGAAGAATGGCGTAGTTGTGTCACGCCCCACCCCTCTTTTCTATATGTTCGCGACACGAAGGCAACCTCTGATGTATTCGGTCATTAGACGATTGCGGAATAAATTCAGAATGGTGGCATCTTTAGGGTGCTGCGCGTGAGGTTGAGAGGTTAAGCAGAAGGTCAGTGAGGGCTCCAGCCACCGTGATGGAGCTAAGAGTTCGGGAGCAATTAGTAGGAGCCGATGATCTGACCTAATGATCATTTATAGAATCTAGAAATATAAATACCCCGTCGTAAATCGGCAGAATTCAAACGCAAGGTGGTGTAGAAACAAGCCATCTTCCCCTATCGATGATATAAGAGTGGGCCTCCCGTCTTCAGCGAAAATCTGCCGCAACGCTTTTGAGACACGACAGTAAGAGTTGGGTACGAGGATGTCATGAAGTCCTGTCAACTTCATGAAATTAGGCTACGCCAATACGCAATGGGAAACCTCAAGGCGGCTCATGCCGACTAGCATAACTTGACAGTTCCACAGAATATCTAGCCCTAACCAGAAATTTTACTAGCGGCTAGAGACGAATAGCAGAATCAAATTTTCCATAAAATATCTAGGATCGGTTTCCCCAAACAGATTGCCAAAGGTTCTCCTCTCAAAAAGTTAGAAAAATGTTATTGTGAAACGCTCCCTGAAAACAACAAAGGACATATCCCGTACATATTCTCCTTCTAAAATATGCCCCGCGTTGTCCGAATGATATCAGATGTTGCTCCACGTCGGTGGAGTCTAAGCTTACGTTCGAAGTCTGGCAGTAATGTATTGTGATTTAATCTGCATCAGTTGTATGCTGCCTCGAATCAAGCCTGGATGTTTCATCTTTCCCGTTAAATATAGGTGTCATATGTGACACGCGGAACTGCTAGTAATTTATTTCATAAAATAAATACTCTCAAAGTGGTCGACACCCTCTAAACTTCCATGATAGTCATGATTTCGATGATCCTTAAGTAAAATCGTCCATTAGTCTCTCCACACGATCAACTACTAGATTCGAAGGGAGCATACTGATTATGCACGGTGGACGTTGGTTAATAAGTTCGACCATTTGATTTAAAACCGAACGATGCCCTGAACGTTGTTAGAAGAGGGCTCAATAGCGGGTGATACGATCGGAGAGCTTAGATGGAATCAACATTCGGTCCAAATGAATCGCATCAACCCGGCTTCGGTAACAGTAACGCTTTTTGGTAGGTGCGCAGTGTCTAAGATGGTGGCAACATCGAGGTAATCGACGCGGTTCGGGAGTTTTGTAAGAGCTTCAACAGAACCTTCTTGGATAACAGAAGACCCAACAATCGGCAGCTATTGGAGTCGCTCTTCATGGGCATTGGACAGATGACAGTGGATGATAGCCGCCTGTGTGTGTGATTATTCAGAACATTGATGGAGACTATCACTACCATTATGTTTCCTGGCCACAAGGCACGTTGCCAGAGGAAAGAGACGCCTCAATCGAAGACACAAGAAAGGCCGGATCCCATGACGCCGGCAGGTGATATAACACGGCACTAGAAGCCGAGGCAGGAGTCATCAAAATTCTTCAGTTTGTAATATTGGATCTAGGATGAAAGCGGCATCTTCCGCGTGCTGCACCAAGAAGCATCAATGCTCAATGCTTGTTGGAAATGTATAATTTTAAACTTTAATTCGGGAAAACGGCTCTAGATGGCGTGCATCATGGGATGCGCCACATTGTAAATCCACAGAGTCCGTCCACGTGACACTTTATACGACTATAAAAGTCGCGGCGAGAAAGAGCGGAAAAGAAGGTATTAGATCGGAGTAAGGTATGCGGCGGAAGGTGGAACAAAGGGGGTGAAGAGAGGACAGGGCATAGTCGCGGAGAGGAGAAGGTATTAGATCGAAGTAAGGTGTGCGGTGGAAGGTGGAACAAAGGAAGAAGAGAGGACAGGGCATAGGCGCGCGGAGAGGAGAAGGTATCAGGGAGGAGTGAGGTGTGTGGCCGTAGGTGGAAGAACTCAAAGAAGTTGAAGTTAAAGAACTCAAAAAAGTTAAAGTTAAATTTAAATAACTTAAAGAAGTTAAAGATAAAGTTAAAGAACTCAAAGAAGTTGAAGATGAATTTAAAGAACTCAAAGAAGTTAAAGTTGAATTTAAAGAACTCAAATAAGGTAAAGATAAAGTTAAAGAACTCAAAGAAGTTAGAGATAAAGAAGGTAAATATAAAGAAGTCAAAGTTAAAGCTAAAGAAGATAAAATTAGAGAAGTTAAAGTTGAATGCATATATGTAAATAAAACCTGTTATGATCAAGATTTTGCAGATAGGCAAAATAAAAGTTATATTTTATATCAATTGGTCTATTTTGCATTTCCATGGCTTGTGCGAACACGACTGGTGAATATATATCACTTTTTTTTTTCTTTTCAACATTTTTGGTGAGCCAGACGTGATCTCACCTTTGTGGATTCTCTAAATTGGTGAAATAACAATCATTCTATTCTTTGTGGATTCTCTAAATTGGTGAAAGTCAAATCATTCTATCCTTTGTGGATTCTCTAAATTGGTGAAATAACAATCATTCTATTCTTTGTGGATTCTCTAAATTGGTGAAAGTCAAATCATTCTATCCTTTGTGGATTCTCTAAATTGGTGAAAGTCAAAACATTCTATCCTTTGTGTATTCTCTGATTTGGTGAAAGTCAAATCATTCTATCCTTTGTGGATTCTCTAAATTGGTGAAAGTCCAATCATTCTATCCTTTGTGGATTCTCGAAATTGGTGAGAGTCCAATCATTCTATCCTTTGTGGATTCTCTGAATTGGTGAAAGTCAAATCATTCTATCCTTTGTGGATTCTCTAAATTGGTGAAATCCCAATCATTCTATCCTTTGTGGATTCTCTAAATTGGTGAAAGTCCAATCATTCTATCCTTTGTGAATTCTCTAAATTGGTGAAAGTCCAATTATTCTATCCTTTGTGGACTCTCTAAATTGGTGAAAGCCCAATCATTCTATCCTTTGTGGATTCTCTAAATTGGTGAAAGTCCAATCATTCTATCCTTTGTGGATTCTTTAAATTGGTGAAAGTCCAATTATTCTATCCTTTGTGAATTCTCTAAATTGGTGAAAGTGCAATAATTATATCATTTGTGGATTATCTAAATTGGTGAAAGTCCAATCATTCTGATATTTGTGGATTCTCTAAATTGGTGAAAGTCCAATCATTCTATCCTTTGTGGATTCTCTAAATTGGTGAAAGTCCAATCATTATATCCTTTATGGATTCTCTAAATTGGTGAAAGTCCAATCATTCTATCCTTTGTGAATTCTTTAAATTGGTGAAAGTCCAATTATTCTATCCTTTGTGGACTCTCTAAATTGGTGAAAGTCCAATCATTCTATCCTTTGTGGATTATCTAAATTGGTGAAAGCCCAATCATTCTATCCTTTGTGGATTCTCTAAATTGGTGAAAGTCCAATCATTCTATCCTTTGTGGATTCTTTAAATAGGTGAAAGTCCAATCATTCTATCCTTTGTAGATTCTCTAAATTGGTGAAAGTCCAATAATTATATCATTTGTCGATTCTCTAAATTGGTGAAAGTCCAATCATTCCATCCTTTGTGGATTCTCTAAATTGGTGAAAGTCCAATCATTCCATCTTTTGTGGATTCTCTAAATTGGTGAAAGTCCAATCATTTGATCTTTTGTGGATTCTCTAAATTGGTGAAAGTCCAATCATTTGATCTTTTGTAAGATGCAAGCGTTGCCAAGGACCACATTTTGAGATGATGTGCAGAGGACTCACATA